CTTAGATGTTAACCTGGGTTCTTTTATGACTTCCTACATGAGTCACTGCTGTGCTCTTGGAGGAACTTTGGTAAGTTGGCTACTTCTGGGAAGACTCACCACTGTTCCAAGTTTTTTGTCCATTTGGAGGTAAGGGCCTAGAGTCCCAGAGCCTTAAAAATGGCTTTGTAACATTTTCCAGACTGATATATTACAACTTTCTTTCTCATCTCTTCCAGAATTTCTTTTGATCACAGTATAATGTGCTGCTTGTTGAAACCTGTTAGCCTAGATCACATTACTGGAAAGGTTTTATTTAAGTAGTTCAGATTCAACAGGACTGTCAGTAATCAACCCTGGTTTTGTCTAATTTAATTGATCCCATTTATCAACTAAATGTTGTTAATCATACGATTGAGAAACTAAGGTGGTAATTGCTTTATTACACAGAGCCAATTGGTGTTCAATAACCTTTTTCTGCAGAAAATGAAACAGTCATTTAAATACTGTATTCTGTGTTTACTCTCGTTGTCTATGTGGTTTATTAGCCTACATTTTGTTTGAAAATATGAAACGTGAAAAGTGACTGGTTTCACTATAGTCTGTCATCTTGACTTCACACAGTAACAAACTGAACCAAAATTAACTAACTAAAATATATATGCTGTTCTTCTCATTTTGAAAATGTAAAGTCTCTGTTTTGCAAATGTTTGATTATTTTAAACAATCCCACTGGCTGATATATCTCTTGGCCATTTGAATTTGTCTCCAGCATTAACGTAGTGATGTAAAGATCTAACAATGTGCACTGAGCATCAAGGTAAACAGAACACACTTTGCAGACCCTTTGTTTTCACTAAAAATGCATTGTTGTATTCGGCATGCAGTTTTTATATTTATTTAAATGACAGTTGGAATAGGTCCTGCCTACTGTTTTCCAACTATTTTAACAGTTAACACGCAACACTGAGTGCATATCTTTTCTCAAGTAAAGTCAGTTTAATTCAGTGACCTGACCTTCATTATACCCACGCAGCTCATTACAAAAATAAAAATAGTCTAGTGATTAACATTCCTGTTAACTAAAGCAGTACACTTGGAAGACTTTTTTTCTCTACAGAAGTTGTTTTTTTAATCTGTCTACAGTTTGAACAAATATAGGCATAGGCAAAATAAACCTTACATTTCGTGTTCACCAGCAATAGAAGATCTTAATTTTCTTTGTACTTCTGTTTACTGCAATGCCCTGTAGATTGTGTTATGATACAGATAACTGACTGATTTCACAGTTGTAAAGACAGATATGTAGACAGTCCCCACTAATACTAAAATTCAAACTCTCAAGTTTAAGCTATTTCTACCTAAGCTCCCTTTGGCCTTTATACAGTGTCCTCCACAAATACTGGTACCCCTGATAAACATGAGCAAAACGCAGGGTAAAAATGTTCATTATTTTCTATCCTTTTGATCTTTCATTCAAATAACAAGTATATAAACTTTATTTGATGTAATAAGATCTAAAGAAAATAACAAATCTTATCATCAATTAAATATTTTCCTTTAATCTATGTGTGCCTCAATTTTTGGCACACATTCACTTACCATATCCCACAGGTTTTCTATGGGGTTTAGGTCGGGGGACTGTGATGGCTATGGCAAACCTTTGATTCATTGGTCAGTGAACCATTTTTGTTTTGAGTTTGAAGTGAGCTTTGGATCACTATCCTGCTGGAAGATCCAACTATGGCCCAGTTTAAGCTTCCTGGCTGAGGCAGTGAGTTAATATTTGCTGGTACTTGATGGAATCCATGATACCACGTATCTGAACAACCTGTCCAGGGCCTTTGGAAGATAAGCAGCTCCACAACATAGAAGATCCAACACCATACTTCACAATAAGGATGAGGCACTTTTCTGCATGGCTGCCTTTGTGTCTACCCACCTCTGGTGTCCGTTACCAAAAAGCTCTGTTTTGTTCTCATCTGACCATGGAACACAGACCCACTTTTCCCAGGTTTTCATCTGGCAATCCTCCCCAACGACTTGTAGTTATGTAGGTGCTGTCTGATTGTAGTCTGGGAGACATTCTGACCCCAAGACCCAACTTATGTCTGAAATTCCATAATTGTAATCCTTGGAGATCCTTTAGCTGCTTGAACCATTCACCTCACTGTGCGTGGGATCAGTATAGACATACATCCTCATCCAGGCAGATTCTTTACATCTCCAGTTGCTTTAAACTTCTTAATTATTGCCCTGATTGTGGAAATTGGCATGTTAAACTGTTCAGCTATTTTCTTGTAGCCATTTCCTAATTTGTGCAGCTCAACAATCTTCTGTCATACATCGCTGCTGCATTCTCTGTTGTTTCTTATAGTGATGGGTGGCTATGGTTTATACTCCAGTGAAACAGGAAGTCATTGCTGATCATTGGAGTGTTCCTAATTGCTCAGGTGAACTTTAAAACATAAAATGAAAATGGGAATATACTTCAGTTAAATGTCACACATAAGAATTTCTAGGAGTGACAACAATTGTGGCACACATAGATTTGAAAAAAAATATTTCATGAAAAGATTGTTCTTTTTCTTTTAGATACTTTTTTTCTTTCAGGTACTTTGAATGAAAGATCAAAAGAACAAGCAATAAAGAATGTTTTACATCCGGTTTTGCTTATGTCTACCAGGAGTACCAATATTTGAGGAGGGCACCGGATATAAATTCTGAGGGGTTTTGAGAATCTTTCTATTCTGGGCAAGTGGTTCTCAACTCTGGTGCTCAAGTACTGCTGGCCTACATTTTGTAGTGCTTTTCCTTCTAACACACAGTTCACCTCAGTAGAGGCTTCTTAATCAGTTAATTAATTGAATCAAGTTTGTTGGAAGCAGAGGAAACTCAAATGTGCATAGCAGTGGTACTCCAGGATTGAAAACAACTGCTTTGCTTGTCAGCAGTGGCATAACTGGTCTCCAGAAACTGGACAGGCTCTATTACTTTTCTGCATAGTGTGGAATCTGAGGGGATGCCATTCCCCCTTGTAAAACTGCCAACTGCTGTTTGCCCCATTTTGGATTAATAGATTCATGTTATGATCACTTAAAGGGGAATTCCACAGCAATTTTATAATGTTCTATATAATTCAATTACTAGTATATAAACAGCCCTGCGATGGACTGGCAACCTGTCCAGGGTGTATCCTGCCTTCTGCCCAATGACAGCTGGGATAGGCTCCAGCACCCCACCGCGACCCAAAAGGATAAGTGGTTTAGATGATGTATGTATGTATGTAGTATATAAACAAAGACAGAGGGGTGCAGACCTTATCAAGCCAGTGAACCAATGTATGCTTGCTATATGGGTGACATATTATGAAAAATGACAGAAGAAGCCATTTTCACAATGTAAAAAACTCCACATCTCATGTACATTGTTACAACCCCACGTTTTGTCACTTTAGTAAAACAAACCACAATAAAACTAGTGTGCTGTTATACCTAGTACCACACTGGAAGTATCAACCTGTGGACAGCACCAAAGAACAAAAACTTAACCACACTTGCCCACTCTGAAACAAAATATTTGGCTAACCTAAAAGAAAGAAAACAAAAGCTAACTACTGCTAAACTTCCCTGGCCATTAATCAAAAGGACATATGGCGATGCCTGCCCTCTGACCTAGGGAGCTAGACAGAGTAGACCTCTAAGTAGTGCAAATGCATTGGTGTGCAGGTAAAATACCACAACTGAAGCACTTCCCCTAACATAAGACAACATCTTGCAAACTAAGAACTTAAAAGAAGCACTGGTAAAATACCTAAAACAAAGCACACTCCCAACACAAGAGATTAAAAACACAAACTAAAACACAGCACAAATGTGATCAGGGGGGTGTACTATGAAGCAGGATTTCAGGGTTAGCGAGCTTAGTTAGAGCTTACTTGGTGTTAAATTCAGGCTTACTGATGTCACGACGGTGGCTCAGTTGCAAGCGAGTTGTATCACCATAGCAATGTATCCCCTGAAGCTAACCTGCTCAGAGCAGGTTAAGTTGATTCAAGCCCAAGAGATTGAATATAATCCCACCTCTAAACCAATGCTATTCTTCCAAAAAATGGCGTCACCCTTCTTAGATGACCCAGTGGATATTGGCGCTCGCATTGAAAGAGGATCACTGCGTAGTGCAAGAGTATTTAGGGACAGATTAAATCCGCTTGCTTTGCCCGATGATGTACTGTTTGAATGGTATAGATTCTCAGCTGAGGGCATTATCTAGATATGCAAACTTCTTGAGCCTTATGTCAGCAATTCCACCCTCTGGAGCCACGCGCTTACAGTGCCACAAACAGTTTGTATAGCGCTGCGGTTCTTCGCCTCTGGCTCTTACTTGTACTCAGTGGGGGATGCTGAGCACCTAAGCAAGAACACTGTATGTCGGGCTATACGCAGGGTTTACCTTGGACTGAAAGAGCTGCTAGATGTGTTTGTAGTGTTTCCAGGCCACTTGCCAGTGCAAAATATAAAGGAAGGTTTTATCAGATTGCAGGTAGCCTAACGCTGATACACACTCCTCGTTGAAATTTGAAGTAACTGGAGACAAAACTTTTTTTGTGCGCCACGTCGATCATAAAGCTTCGAATATCACTGAAATCATTTGAGAAATTCAAACGTTAAAGTATTTTGATTCAGAAAAACTACAGCTCCCCATTTGACTTGTATTTATTTACACTGCAGTCTTGCCCGGACCAATATGGCGGACGCGTTGACGTGTCGCAGCAACGAGCCGAAGCGGCCAATACGGCGTCTGTCTGTGTCTATGAGCGGGCGTCCAGGACCAAGTCTGAAAAACACTGCTTTAGAGTATGAGAGAAAAGAGATATCAGAAAACGTGTTTTGATCGTGAATAGCAATAGTATATCTACACCCTCCGGGAGTGTTACAGTTCGACCACTTGTTAAACATTTTGAAACAACTTGTTGAAAACGACTTTGGTAAGTCCCCTTCCCGTTGTTGTATGTGAACACACCCACAGGGTGACGCATGCGCGGAGCAGCGTCAGAAGCTTCCGGGATCCTCCGGCTAGTCAGCGTGATGCTGCGAGTTTTACAGAGTATTAATAACAGCTTTACTGTCAGCTTTCTACAGCAGTCTGCTCCCCGCAGCCAGCGCACCATGGGCAGCTTAAACCACGAAAACCGCTCCATTCATTCTGACAATGTTGAAGAAGTTCATAACATCCCGGTGGATGTGATCATTCGACCCATTCCCTCAGTGCTGGACGAGCAGAAAGTTCAGAGCCTCATGGATACAATAAAGGTAAGCCTCGGAGTTTTATTATAACTTATTAAATCTTATTGTAACGATTCACTCCGGCTGGAACCAGTATCCAAATTATTAAATTATAATAACTACTATTGTTATTACTACTGAAACATGAACACACCTCACTAACTGCATTCACCTGTTTACAGTGACAAGTCCTGTAGACAAGCCTGACAAGACCTTCACAGTCAGGATTTCTGAGTTAGCTGGATAACTTAAACCATGGAGGAGTGCAATTGTGGAATATTTAGATTCTGAATCCTGAATATGATCTTGATTCTGAAGCACAACCATTAAGTATTTAGTATTATGAGTATTACTGAACATGAAGAAATTAGTATTATTAGGTAATATAATATAAATATGCACAAATTATTTATTTGCATTATTATATGCAAATTATATGCATTAATCCTGCTCATATATTTTTTATATTTATATGTTAAATATTTCTAGCTTAACCCCTGCTCCTTAAGCTAAACACCCTGTAAGATGAAGCCAAATCACACAGTTCTTCCAGGTCCCTGATTGTATGTACAGCCATCAGGATGCATTACGCACCATTATAAAGATAAACTGTCTTTGTCCTCATCTTCATTATGCTAAATTATTTACATCTTTATCTGTATCTGCCGAAAGTGAGGATTGCCCAATAGGCAGTGAGCTAAGAGACTGTCCTATTGAACTAATCATCAGTTTAGGCTTAAGTAATCTGGCTTAATGAGAAATCTTGCTTTGTGAAATATTTCTGTTGACCGACCTGTAGTCCTATATATTCATATGTTTACCAGAACAAACATTTATATATCAACATTTTCACAGGAGACATCTGACATCAGAGTTGTCCCTCCCATAGACGTGTTATGGATCACGGGAGAAAAAGGAGGTAACTATTTCTACTCGTTTGGAGGATGCCATAGATTTGCTGCTTACCAGAGACTACAGATGAAATCCATCCCAGCCAAGATTATCAAATCAAACATTTCAGACTTGCGCACCTACTTGGGAGCTTCAACACCTAATCTACAGTGACATGAAAGAGAACTAGGATCAAGAGCACCTATGACCTGAGATGGTTCATCTGGACTACAGTTACACTATGATTGTGTCTATCCGCAGTTGTTCTTGAAGGTGCCAAAAGCAAATATGTGCATTAGAATGGAGGAAACACCTATTGTTTGTGTACAATGCTAGGGTATTTTCTGTCAAATCTCAACTGGCCAAAACGCTAATTGTTCCCTCTGTTTATTTATTTAAAATTTTAAATATAACTTTATTTTTTATTTTAGTTTTTTTGTTATGATAAATATTTTATTAATATATGAACAGTTAGATGGGAAGATTTGAATTAAAATCTTAATCATATGGCACTTGAGGCCATTTTATCACCATTGTAACAGGACTGATATTCACCACAAGATGGCAGTGTTGTACTGTTTATACTTTATGTCAGGCCCAAAGTGACATTCTATCTGGGGACCCTCACCCATACTTGTATTAACATTTTGTATATATAATATCAATTATATTTGCTATATAAGTCAGAAATTAAGAGCTGAATGAAATAAATAAATACAAAATAATTCACGAAATGTGTTTAAATGACGTGGTTCATTTCAGCTTTTTTATTTTTTGGAAGCAGAGTCATCAGTGATGTCTTCACAAGATATTTTTTCATCAATATCATGATTAAACTATGAAATGATCTGAAGAAAGAAAGATAGAAAAACAACATATGAGTGGTGACCCCTTCTAGTTGGGGGCCCTCAGCAAGTGATATATACTGCTTATAGCAAGAAGTGGCTCTCTTGTTGACCATACGGATCATGATATTTTCATTATATTTAAATATAAATTTGATTAAACATGAGTATTTTACATAAGTAAATAAATATTTCAGATGAAGTATCCTATATATATATATATATATATATATATATATATATATATATATAAATCATGGAAATTGGGATTATGTTGACCTGTATAAGCATTACATATAACACTTACACTGATTGACCACTTCAGTAAGTAATTCTCCTTGTTTCTTCACTTGTTCATACATTTTATCAACTCCACTTACTATATAGGTGCACTTTGTAGTTCTACAATTACAGACTGTTGTCCATCTGTTTCTCTGCATACTTTGTTAGCCCCCTTTTATCCTGTTCTTCAGTGGTCAGGACCCCCATGGACACTCACAGAGCAGGTACTATTTGGGTGATGGATCATTCTCAGCACTGCAGTAACACTGACGTGGTGGTGGTGTGTTAGTGTGTGTTGCGCTGGTCTGAGTGGATCAGACACAGCAGTTCTGTTGGAGTTTTTAAACACCTCAGTGTCACTGCTGGACTGAGAATAGTCCACCAACCAAAAATATCCAGCCAATAGTGTCGTGTGGGCAGCGTCCTGTGACCACTGATGGAGGACTAGAGGATGACCAACACAACCTGTACAGTAAAAGATGAACTACTGTTTCTGATTTTACCATCTACAAGGTGGACCACAATGTTGATGTGTCTATTGGAGTGGACACAGTGTTCAAAAATTCCAGCAGCACTGCTGTGTCTGATCCTTTTGTATCAGCTTGACACACACTAACACACTACCACCACGTCCGTGACACTGCAGTGCTGAGAATGATCCACCACCCAAATAATACCCTCTGTAGTGGTCCTGTGAGGGTCCTGAACATTGAAGAGCGAGATAAAAGGGGGCTAGTAAAGTATGCAGAGAAACAGATTGACTACAGTCTGTAATCCCAGAACTACAGAGTGCACCTATACAGTAAGTGAAGTCGATAAAATGGACAGTGAGTGTAGAAACAAGGGGATGTGCTTGATGAAGTGGCTGGTCAGTGTACATACCACTACAAAATGAATAAAATAGGTTTAGCATAGTAGCTCAGCATCCCCTAAACATGCAATAAATATGTCATCAAATGTCAGCGAGAAATATCAGTTAAAACTAAACATCTACCTGACGTTTAGATTTAATTAGATTAATTTTTAAATATCTGCCACTACCGATTTGATTCCAGGTTCATCATGCATCCCTAACAATAATCTTAAATCTTGTACGTATGACAGTTCTTATGAAATTATTTGAATGTTGCATTTTCGGCATACTGACGCACGATGAACCTGGAATCAAATCTGTAGTGGCAGATATTTGCTTAAAAAAATAATCTAAGTGTAGGTCCCAATTCCTCCAGTGTAGTTTCAGTGGAAACTCTACTGTGTGCAGGAACAGGTGTCAAAAATACCAGACTGTGGGTGTTTCTGTTTCTAATTGCCAAACCACAACTAGATCAAATAATTTTTCCCTGTATTGCTACTGCTATTCATTTTTCCCAAGGCTTTTGCCTCCCAGACCAGAGTGCGATACTTGCTTAAATGCCCCAACCACAATCTGACCAATTGCTGATGTCATATTGGTTATTCAGACCGCAGTCTGTCCAACAGCACGTGCTGGTCTGGCATCAGTCCGGCTCCTCAGTGCTCCTCTGACTCTCTGCTTCACAGCCTGCTGAGACCATTCATTTCAAGGGGTCATATCAGAAAATGTAATTTGACTGGGGGTGTTCAAACTTTTGCATAGGACTGTACATGCAAATTGTAGGAGGAAGGTACATACAAGTTGTTCTTTGTGTACATGAAACAGACAAGCCACACTTTTTTATTTACAGCTCTCACTTTCACTTTCTTGCTACTTGTGTTATATATGAACATCCTATTTAACACTACAATGTGGAGCAATGTCTGTATTTAGTTGTATTGTGGATGTGGCCTAAGATTAATTTAGTGATTTACTTGTCCAAAAGAATTTAGTTAAGTGGGTGAAGGAGTCATTAAGACAGTGATGTCATTAAGGCATCTGTGGAATCAGAGATAAAAAAAATGTGGAGTAGCATCAGAATTAAAGATTGGACAAGTAAAGAATCTAGAAGGTCCAGCAATATTCTTCTACCAAGCTTCTTAATCAGAGCAGGATATATTTGGGGTCATGTGTCATGAGAACCAGACCATATTGTGAACTGGACAGAAAAAAAATGAACACAGCAACTCTGGTGATGTTACGCTACTATATATAGATAGGTTTGTATGCAGGGCCTCAAATTCCCAGACTGATGTTGGACTGCAGAAGACATCGACCATAGAGAGAGAATTTATGTATTTAAATATTTATTTATTGTATAGTTGTGGTCATCATGTTTAAATATTAGATCTTTTGATGACAATAGATCTTTACTGCAACTCTTCAAAGTTGAACTACACATCATACTTTTGATTTTTTTTTCACAAAAAGTGTGGTTCATGCACATTCTTTCAGAATTTAACTTATTTATTTTATAAAAAGAGTATAAAGTTTCAAGATGCACCATTCACTCTCTCAGCCTATACAGTCCATATATAGAGATAAAGCCCCAAATATGGCCCCCTTTGATTTAGCTGTTTTTATGATGTCATAAATACGAAACACAATTACCCACCTATTCAGCCCACAGCAGTTTAGTCTGCACATTAATGTGTTATGAGTGTTTTTAATGATGTTTTTTTTCAGCCTGGACTGCTTGAATGATACCATACAATGCAGCCAATCAGAACTGAGAAACTTTACATATATCAGTCTTATATTATAATTGTAAGTAACCATAAAACTATTTCAAGTTCACATTGTGATGACAGCACACTTAGTGAGCCCAAGATGGAAAGCCACACCAGAGTCTGTGAGGTCAGCTTATGAATGCAAAATAAATAGAAGGTAAAGCTTATTAGCATAGCTTACACGTTATGAAAGACACCTTACATCAGCTCCAGTTTTGCCCACAGAAAGAATGAGATCAAATTTGCATTTGATGATTTCAAAAAGTCCAAACCTAAGATTCTTCTTGAACACACACACATGTTTTCAGTTCCTATAATAGTCTGTCACAGTTCATCTTATGAATAGCAACCAATAACCTTTTTACCAATTTCAGTTTTTTTAAGTGGTGTGCAATGAAGGCTTTGCTTCCTGCACAACCTTTAACAGCTAAACCCTGCACGTTGACTTGTTAAATTTACAGGAGACACAGCTCTTTACTTGAGAGGCAATGAGAGTGGTTACGATAAAGAAAGTACAGCTACAGGGAATAGAGGAAATTTTGAACATCCCTGGTCAAATTTCATGTTTTGTTAATTTTTTTTTTAAGTGAAAATAAGTTAACACATCTGCTACACTGAACTTCGATATAGTATTTTTAGTGCTTAATTTGTATAAAATAAAAAAAAAAACAAAGAAAAAATGTGGCATAACATTTGCATCCACATTTTATATTTAATAAATTTTTTCAGTATGTTAATTTCAGCAACTAAACAGTAATTGAAATCAACAAAACATGTAACATGACTGTAACCCACAAGAAATGTTTGGATTGTGCAGTGACAATATAGCCACTCCCACAGTGCAGAGAAACTCTGGGAGAAATAATGCTTTATAGTTTCTTGGAATCAAACAGTTTAATATCTCTGTAACTCTACTGCAAAGTGTTGAGATTTTTGTTCTGAGTATATATTTAGAGGGTTGGAGGACTACTTGACAGGATGACTGGTCCCCTTTAAGTACAAGAAAAATGTAGGATATGAGGCCTTTAATTTAGCTTCTTTTGGTTTCCATGTAAGACACATATGCTTGGAACTTTTAAAGTGCAAAGTTAAATTTGTAAGAATGTAACTGAGCTCTAACAAATGTACTGATAACAGCTGATGGGAGACAACAGCTGGAGTGTGAGGGCTTTAGCTGTTCCAGTGGATGAGTCTGTATGGCAGACATGTGGCTGTAAAGCAATATATAAAGCCAACATGCACCAAGCACTCACACCCACGATCGGGAGAAGGGATGTGTTGACCTTTTCACCTGAGTGTTAAATGTGTTTCTAATGACACACACATTGACCGGGTGTATCCAATAAACCATCAGGTGTGTGTGTGTGTGTGTGTGTATGTGTGTGTGTGTGTGTGCATATGTGTGTGTTTGATGTTGGGCGTGGACCCCAGTGAACTGAAGATGAGCACATGCGGAAGGAATCTTTTCCACAACTTTAAACTCTTCCTTTTTGACCCTTGACCTGAGGTTAGCTAGGGGTATGACCCGGTAAAAAAGAAAGAAAAAAAGAATATTCATTAATGAAAGTATGAACATATGGCCATGTCAAATACTAATCATGCTAATTGCCTGATTTTAGGATTAGTCGCATTTTGTATGTTTTACACTCCTAATTGTTTTCAAAGATCTATGTACTAAACAAATATCTCCTTCTAAATTCAAGAGCCCTTGATCTATTTTCCAGTAAAAACCACTGATGGTTCTGCAGACTAAGTTATGAATAATTCAAGCAAGTATCACAGCAGCAATAAATAATGTCGAGTGTTTTTACAGACAGATTTATGTTGGCCTTTTCACTCTGTTGTTTCTGGCAGTCAGAGTTATGGAATATTCAACTTCATGACATTTTTTCTGAAAATGTCAACGCAACCCAAAGACAGAAAATCAGAGAGGGAGAGGAGGAGAGCTGTAGAAATAGAGCAGCATCTCAAAATCATTCAATCAT